TCGCTCCGCTCAGAATCTAAAAAAGTTGTCCCTGTGCCAAATATAGTTTTAAGTGTTAATTTAATTTAATCAATAAACTTATAATAATTAATTAGATAATATAGATTTCAAATAATAATATTTTATGATTAAAATGTAAAGATTTTGTAGTTTTTCATAAATGTTATATCATGTTTTATTTATAATTGTTATGTTTTAATTTTGTTTAAGGGAAATTATGTTAAGTTTTTGAAAAATCTTCATTCGGAACAAATAGCAAAATTACTTTTAAAAAACCAAAACGAATGTGATTTGTTGGARGACATAAGGTAAATACATTTAGAGTTTTCATCACTGTTGCAATTTAGTGTTTTTTGTGTTTGTTCAATGAATATGATGCTTTGAAATAAACTTATTTTTATACTTAATTCGTGTATCAGTAGTGCACAATTATGTAAATATATACATTTTATAAATTGTCAAAAGTTCAAATTTATTCTATTAAATGAGCAACCTTCGCACCATTTTTATTTACTGAGTTATTGAAACATCAAAGTAGTTTTAAATAACCCTCTGTGAACCCAAAACAGTAATTCATTGAACGTTGAGTAGTGTAATTTAAATATATCTACCATCGAAAAGTGTATAATTTTTTAATTTTTTTTTAGAAGTTTTTTGATCAAAAAATCTTCTATAGAGAAATCATATTCCGATGTAAGTATTATCTATATATGTCAAACGATGACATACTGTACTCCGTATACAAATAATATAATGTAAGGGCTAAGACCATGTTTAAGTAAATATTTATGTAATTTTTATAGGCATTACTTAAAATATCTGTTGCTTTTTTGAACAAGAAAATTGCAAATATACCTGACATAAAGACTGAAGGCAGTGAAGAAAAATGGTAAGCAAATTGTTATCTTATCATTTTTAGTGTTTACTATATAGATACTAAAATAGATAAAGAATTGTGAAGCAGTAGTTTATTTTGTTTATAACTTATAAACATTCAATATTAGTATGAAGCATGTGAAGTAACATGTAATTTTAAACACAATTTACGTAGGTCGTAGCTGGTTATACGTATTATAATGTATTATATGCAGACCATCATTCAATGAATATCCATCACTGAGTTGGATACTCCATTTTCCCTTGATTGAAGTAGAAAACCTAAACTGGGTAGTAACCCAGTTACTAACTCCCTATATTAGTGAGAGTATTACATATATAAATAATCGAGTGTGAAATGCATCTAAACTCCATTTGCGGATGTATCGTAACCGTTGTTCAGAAAAATCTAATCAAGTATAATTTTATAATTATTAATATTACGCAACATATTATTCTATGTCATGTAATTCTGATGTATGACAGGTTTTGATTATTCCTCATTGAGTATAGTCACTCATTACATTTATCCGTTTTGAATTAATTGTGAAATATGAACAACGATTGTAACGACCGAGTGTAACAGCCTTTGATTCTAAGGATGTTTTAATTTGTATTTACTGTTGATTTATTAATGTAAGTTATTTATTTTATAATATCAACATCATTATAGCAAGTTTAATTTGAAATATTTATTTACAACATCATCGAATTTATTACCTTTTTTATAACTTTAAAAATATTATACCATATAGCCATTATTGGTACTTAACATTTTAATAAAGATAATATTATAATTTAATAGTCGATATTGACGTATATACCTTATTAGGATTTTAGAATTAGATCTGTGGCATAAATAGCAAAAATTGTCTAATGTTTAAATCATAATACATTATAATATAGGTAGGTAGGTAATAACAAAACATGCCCAGTCTTTCACATGAATATATTTTGAATTACTATCATCGGTGGATTGGTACAGTAAAAAATATAAATCATAAATGTGTCCTACAATCACCTATTTCTTCTGTGTTATATTAGTAAAAAAAATATTCTTCAATAGTTAAGTTATTCAACTATCAAGTTTCAAGACTATCAATTATTATAATGTTATTATTAAATATTATTATTATCAATATTATATCATTGTGCAATTGGCCTTAAAGTAATAGATAAAGCATACATTTTTAATTCAATGCACATATAACTTCATAGTGAAATGCAAAATTTCAATGCATATCCATAATAACGTCTAATAAATTAATTAATATGATTATTTTATGAAGTTAATTTTTAAACAACTGACTTTTAATAGTTATGCTCTCTATAAAGTAATTTATTTTTATTTTCTATTGTTCGATAATTTCATTGGAGTCTAATATATTATTGGATGTTTTTTTTTTTATCGGAAGCTAGAACTATAAGCTTATTATAAGCTTCTAAATTATCTGAACTCAACTAATTTTGAAAGTAAGTTGACATTGAAWACGATTGAAACTGAGCCACCTAGTTTTTAAATACATATTTAATGAAGTACAATATAAAGAACTCAAGTGTTATTTAAAATAATAGGTAAAAGTATTATAATAGTAATACCTGAGTTGAAGAAAGCATAAGAAGATACTTATATATTAAAATGTTAATTGCTGATAAGCGTTACTATAAAGCCTATAAGTGKATACTTCATTAAAACGTTAAGTAGTATACAGTACAGTTCTTACACACTGTGTTTTCTTTACAAGATTTTTCGTAAAACTTTGTATCAGCAATATCGACAATATCTTTTTTTTATTTACATTGTTAATTGTTATTAAAATAACATAAATTCATAATTATACCTATATATACACGAATTAGAACACAATTTTTCAATTTAATTTTAACCCTAAGCAAAATTTAATAATATTCTGAATGTAATTTATCCAATATCCGTAGGTAGTAGGTATTATCATTGTTAATAATCTTGCAAACCATTTTAAACTATCAAAATGAGTAGATGAAAACATGTTAAATCTAAATATTTTTGGTTATTTTCGATGAATCATCCCTACTTGCAACATGCTTCCTACAACCTTATYCCTTATAGTATTAAATGTTTTTATAGAATCTACATTTTTAATTCGATTAGTTAGTGTTGGTATCATCTTTAGTTAATTTTACGAATCAATATTTAATTTTTATTGTTTATAAAAATAATGTAATATGAATTTTATTTCGGTAAATCTATAGTAAGTAATTTATAATTTACTATTTATTCTGGTAAACTGTGTTTCGGTTTGGACGTAGAATAAATCCCCTTAAAAAATGACCTGATAAATAAAATGAGAAATTTAGTTCTAATCAGTTTTATATTAATTTTTTTTTTTTAAATATAGTTTATAAACGTTCACGTAAAATATAAAGTTTTATTTTAATTTTTTAATACTAAAAATAAGAAATCATAAATATAAAAATTTAAAATAGCTAATTTGTAAATCTAATTTAAAAAAGTGTATAATGTTAAAAACGTTTATTTTTAACAGTGTTTTAAAATATCAAAATTTTTTTGAGAAAATTAAATTGTCATATATTTTCAAATATAAGTAAATCTTAAATCATCTATTATCCATATGGTTTTCATAATTGTTCATATGTTTAATTTGGTATCAATTTTTCATTTGTCAGGACTTTTTGTTACACTCTTTATGGTATTTATCCTATTACTTATTTGCATTTTTTCGTAATACTTATTACATTCTGTGCACAACATAAATAAGTAATAAATATATGTACATTTTAACATACTATCGAACAGACAGCATTGTTATTTATGAAATTATAAAAATATATCAAACTTAAAAAGTCGATTGAATAAAATGTTTAATTTGTATTTAATGTGTGTAATATGATATTAATGTACTCATATGAATATGTAGTTTATCGACTATAAAAAATCAGTACACTGAAAGGTAGAGCAACATTGGCTGATTATTATACCCTTTGTTATACTTTTTAAGACTGGCTCGAATCGATCAACGTGACCCGCACGCGCATCGTTTGGTAGTCGCGCCTTACAGTACTATCCCCATACCCTTCCAACGGGCAATGTTCTACAAACCACAGTTATGACTTATGGTTAAGGTATTTTACTAATTTAAAAAAATGTAAAATGAACCACGTGTAGTATTCTAATCGATAAGAAACCAACATGTATATTTGTTAGTAAAAATACTATTACTTTACATTTTGTATACATAGGTACAAATTTTAATTTCACTTTTATTTGTCAAAATCAACTACCATCTTATTAATATACAATAATATAATATA